GTGAAAGGGATTCACAAATTGGTACCACCGGATACCGAAGGAGCACCTGTGATTATTGGATTGTGCGAAGAGGACCCCGGCTCACTGTCCTGCAACCACGATGACTTCATGCTGGGCTCTTATCCTCTGGACGGACGGAGATCATCAGAGCCAGAACCCATTATTTATAAACAACCAACAAAAATACAAAATCAAGGTGGCCGGTTGAAATTCTACTTACTTTTTATAGCTCAATTTGCGATCTTAATAAGGCATTCCGTGGTTTGATTGGCTACTTTGTACTTTTAGAGGAGTGAAGTTGTGGAAAAGAGAGCCAATGTGATTACAATATTACTTTATTCAAATAAGCAAGCATATATTCCTGTAATAATGAGGCTTGCTATAGTTTCGTAAATAAGTGTGCATTGTGCATACGCAATACTCATGAGCCCGTTGGCAATTTCGAGCCCCAAACCAAGCTTTGGATTAATCAAAGCTTCTCGTCTTACTCAGTGGCTCTTCCTGTTTTCCCTCTCTCTCACACACACACAGACACTCTTCTATAGCCGGAGATAGAACTTACTATGTTTCCTAAACTCATTCATCTTATTCAAAATGTTCTTGGTTTTATTAAGTTCAATCGACTCCATGACGTTCCATCTAGCTGTGACGTCTCTAAATCCGGCAAAAAGTTTGATTTTAAACCATTCTATCTGGTATCCTGTAGCGATCATATGTTCAGCTAGCATCGAATTCTGAATCCATAAATCTTTGCCGGTGATTTTGTGTTCTGATAACCTTTTATGTGTGGATTGACAAGCCTACGCAACATAGAAACTACCACATAAGCACAAAACCTTATAACAACCTTATCTGCAGAGAGCGTCTGAAGATCCTGTAAAAAAGGCATGACCGAGAAAGACGTTCTTATTTCCATATACATGGTCCCGATGTTTTATTTTTTTAGTAATTAGCCTGACTATCGAATGCTAGCAGGACGACAGCATTAGAAGGGTTGTCTAACTCCCTGATTGGTCCTAAATAATGATTTCCTCTCACGCTATTTCTTATTGTTTGCAAATTATTAACAATTAGTCAAAACGGATAATTGTTCTCATCCAAGAATTTTCTTAAAAGTAGACTGACCTCGTTTACGCAACTTGCCTGTGTTGTCAGAACGACTTAATTGGACTCACCTTGTCAGAAGTCCTCTGCCATAGGAGTTATCGTATTTCCCAGCGTCGGATCGTGGACTTTTACATTCTCATATGCTCCGCTGGGATCATCAGTGAGTCTTACTACTATCAGCAACACTATGAGGATTATGGCAGAGGACTTCTGACAAGGTGCGTTCAACTAGATCACACTGATAACACGACCAAATTGCAAAAATGAGGTCTGCGACTGCGACACCATCTTGGTATTAATATCTATTATTATTAATCGCTTTTCTAACTCTTTATCCTTGTGATTTAGGTCAGCTAGACGTAAACTCCTAACTATCATCATCGCTTGGGGCTTGTGGTTTTACTCAACAAATCAACACAGGCATTCCTTCTGTTTTGCTTATCCAGAATATATCTCCATCTCCTAATATTCAGCTTACTTTTTCTTGTCAACTTAGAATATACCAAACTTATTTAGATGTTAATATAAAAAATAAAATTACCATAGAGCTATGCGTCTAGTGAGAGAGCATATGCATAGTGAGAACTTATTGTCAGGATGTTTCATTATGAATTGTCATTCTGATCTCATTCCTGAACAAAAGATTGTATTTATTATGACCAGTAAATAGACAGTGATATTTGGAGTTCCAATAGGAATCCCGAAATGTCCCAAACTTATAGTAAAACTCCAAATAAGCTTGTTTTGCATTTGAAGTAAAAAAAATCTCCCTAGCATGGATATAGTAGATATGAATAATAATTGGGTTTAGATGAATCTCTTGAGATAACATTGTTGAGGAGACTTTCATTAGCCAAAAAATTCTATACCTATCTATGCATATAGATTTTCGTTTTTTGGTTGAGTATGTGAGAATTGGGATAGGGAAAAATGGCTTTCTTGACCTAGTGTTAACGTGAGACCTATAAAAGAATGAATTCCAGAGCCTGTCATGTGATGGACGGAAGCTCAGCCTGTTTTTACCCGAAATGCAGGAGAATGTCTTGTGGAACGCGTTAACCTGAACGACGTATTAAAGCCGAACGGCTGCAGTACAACGGGAATCAGCCGTCGTCTTCTGGTGCAATGAACCTTCGAATGTCTTATTCGCTTTAAACGTAATAAAAGTCTTACCAACAAAACAATATCTTAGGTATGAAGACCAAGATGGTGTGGCCTTTTGTGTGGTCATAGTCTCATTTCGTTGTATAGAGGTTGTTTGACCTTGTTTTCGCAACTTTGTCATATTGTTAGGAAGACTTAGAGGAATGCTACTAGTCCGGAGTCCATTGTATGCATGATCATTTCCAAAGTTGAACCATAGACGTGGTATATTCCCAGACGTTTCGCTGGCATCGTTGTCGGCATCGTCAATGAGTATCGCCATTCTTAGCACTATACAACAACTCGTCAAAGAGACAAGTGAAGCCGATCCTTTGACCAAACGTGTGCTAAATAGTTGTGGTAACTCCCCTTCCGCCCTGGGTTATTCGCGTTTCCGGTATCATCATATCACTATTACAATGTTTACCGTGTTTATTTAGACATAGCGTGGTGTGCTCCTTTGAGCAATATGAAACCTTCACACTCCAACTGTCGTTCTCACTCCCCTCCTTCACCCTTATGCAGGAAATGTTGATCAGAGTATGCTTTGCTATTATGCAGTCCTCTTTTATAGTCTTATCCCAGTCTCTGTCTTGCTGCGTAAAATCCGTTTGCTCTAACCCTTGTTCACCTATTTTACTTGACTCTTGCCACCACATCTGTCCTATTCGAGGAGTTATTCACTCCCCCTTACGTCTAGGTGGCTAATTCGAGGCTAAAGCCTCTGAGTGTCATGGTCACCTCTTTGCTACATGTACCACGTCTCTGGTACAACAGACCTATCATCAGCCAACTAGCTCCGGTCCCCGGCGTCTATCTTGTTTCTATCCCTAATACCAGGTCTATGATTTCTCATGCCCTAGTCTCTTGTGTGCCATCCCAAAAATGTTGTGGTACAGCTTGTTTTGATTTGGTTCAATGATGAACCACAACATTTTTGGGTTGGCACACAAGAGACTAAGGAATGGCAAGTCATAGACTTAATATTAGGGATAAAAAAAGGATAGACGCGGCGGCGATGGAGGCTAGTTGGCTGACAGTAGATTTTATAAGACGTGGTCCATGTGACAAATGCGTGAATATGAGACTTACGCAGAGGCTTTAGTCTTGAACTAGTCATTCAGACGCAGGGGAAGGCGAATAACGCTTCGAGTGGCACAGGAGTGGCAAGGGTCGAGTAAAAAATATGAACCAGGGAGAGGTCAGACGGATCCTACTGGGCAAGAGAGAGACTATGATAAGACCTATGGAAGGAGGACTGCGTAACAATATGGCAGACTCTAATCAACATTCCCAGCACAAGGGTGAAGGGGGTGAGAACGACAGCGTGGAGTGTGAAGTGTCTTCATGAATGCCACTCAAAGAAGTACACCACACTACATCTAAATAAGCACAGAAAGGGATTGTGACAGTGAAGACGTGATATGAGTATTTAGGAAATGTGAATAGCCCATGGCAGAAGAGGAGGTATCACAACTGTTTAACACATGTTTGGTCAAAGTATAGGCTTACTTGTCTCTTTGATCAGTTGTTGTATGGTGCTAATGTCGATACTCATAGACGATGCCGGCGAAACGTCTGGGAATGTACCACGTCCACCGTCCTACTCTGGAAATGATCGTATGTACAATGGACTCCGGACTAGGTCCGTTCCTTTAAATCTTTTACCAATATGACCAAGTTTAGCAAACAAAGTCAAACAACTTCTATACAACGAAAGGTGACTGCGACTTCACAAAAGGCCACACCATCTTGGTCTTCATACCTTCGAAAATAAAAATGCTCAGTATAAATAACTTTGATTTGAATCTTAGCCACAGTCTTGCTCGCTTAATCTTTTCAAGGAATGAGCCAGTAAACAAGCATATAAATATTTTTAGAGAATAGGTCCCAGGGAGGTCATTAGGGACAGACGATAGAAATTTCGGAAGAATTTTTTTCTATATATATTATGTCCCTTCGCCGGGATTACTTCACTTATAAATTTAAATTAGTTGATGGATAAAAGCGATTTTGATGGAGAAAGTCGATGCCAGCAAATAGATACTGAAGTGTAGAGGTACGTAATTAAAATTAATTGGATATGATGGGGATATTAAAGAAAGTCAGTTTTAACTCACCGCCTGAGGGGAAACCGGACCCATGACAGCTCGTACATTGAATAGACTGTAGCCTGGGAGGCCGAAGCTGTCCAATTTCAGCTGAGAATGGAATTCAGTACGGACCCTAGATAAACTTGCCGATCCGGGACTAGTCTCTGCCATTAATACTGGCCCAGCAGAAGCCAAAATCTCGGAGTCATCTTTGTAGGCACTATTCTCTATCGAAGTAGTTTTTTCAATGATATCTGCTTTCTTATCTGATTCGCTTTGGACCTCCTGGACGATAGACTGCCTGAGTTTAGGGTCAGGCATTAGCGAACACTGTTGACTTTCAGGCTTCTGCCAAGGTGAATTCACAGTTTGGTTACTCACACCAGTTGCGTCTTCTGATATGAGCGAATAAGGTGATTGGGATGAAGGTGTTGGATAACAGCTGGCAGCCAGACGTTTTGCGCTTACTAAAAGTCGACGAATGGCTTCTGGTAAGCGTAGACTTATGGTGCTCCAAGCCTCGTCAGTTTCATCAGTCTTACTGACTGGGGTGCTATCAACTCCAGGAATCGCAAAGCCAGATTTGTGATCTTGAACATTCTCCCTTGATCTAAAAATAAAAAGTGTAAATAAAAGGAGTCAGATAAAAATTAATGTAACCAGTTTATCGCATTCGGAATCAGCCATGTCGAAGAAATGTTATAGGGTTAAATGATTGGTATTCAAGTAGAAAAGATTAATATACTTTAAAAGCAATTGTAACCTGTAAAGGTAATTAAGGTATAAATCCTTGGTAAAGAATGGTAACCCTAAAGGTTATGTATTCACAAGAAGACAGGCAGACATATCACATTTATCAGACTCGTTTAGAGACGCAGAATGTAGTTTTCACTCAGCATTTTTATTTTTTTCTCTAGAAATTTATCTGGCTTCCATAATTAATGAATCAGCACAAGCAAGTAAAACCACAGCAGGCTTTCTCATGCCGGGTTTCGTCTCTTACACACAAACCAGCGAACCACATATCCTATATCTATATATAAGCTTTATTCATGCACACAGCAGAACACAACCGTCTGATGACCCAAAACCAGGTAAACTATCCATCAGCAAACAGGAGTTAACCCCCTCTACCGATAAAAAAATCGGCTAAATCCCAATATTTACTTCACTTGAATAAACTCCTCCATCTTCCATCCCATTAGGTTCAATGTTGAACCACAACATTTGTGGGTTGGCGCACAAGAGACTATGCATAGGAAGCCATAGGCTTGGTATTAGGGGTAGAAACAGGATAGACGCGGCTGAGACTAAAGCTAGACGACTGACAGCAGGCCTGTTTTACCATAGACGTGGTCCATGAATCAAAGGCTTGACCATGACAATTTTTCAGGCGCTTTGGCCTCGAGTTAGTGTCCTAGACACAAAGAAAGGAAAATAACGAGTCAAATAGCAGATATTGCATAGCAGAGGTCAAGTGAAATACTTGTACCAGGGAGATAGCAGACGGATCCTATG